TAGGTTTTCTTTCTTTCCCATCCATATCTAATCCAAATAAGGCAAATGAGAACTATTTTCCACTACTCTCCTTTCCTTTCTTTTTCACTAGGATGTTTTATTTATTTATTTATCCTTTCCTTTGATCCAAATGGTTCCTAAAAGGGCCCTAAATAATTATTCTACATTGATCAGTTCCCTATTTTTGTATTAATTTGCATGTGCACGATTCTGTGTATGTTCATGTTGTGCATCAAATCTTGTGAATGACAAAGCTAGAGTGTAAATTTAAGTTGAAGAAATATAAACCAAAAAAGAAAATGGATTGGCTCCTTTAAGAGTATCAGACTTCTAAACCCCAAGGATTACATAATTTTCATATCCTTTGCTATACAAAGAAGTGGCATAGCCTTAACAATGAAGTGCTGGAAAAACTCCAGAAGGACTGTGCCATCCATGAAATCACAATTCCGCTTGCTATACCATGCATTAATGTGTATGCCCTTGATGATTAATATAATGAAATCATGGTTCTAGGCCTTGAAGGAAGGAATAAGAGCGAAAGTGGAGCTAGCAACAAAATTTGCAATCAGTTATCAGGATGGGAAAGTTGATGTACGTGGTGATCCAGCCTATGTGAGGGCTTGTTGTGAAGCGAGTTTGAAGCGGCTTGATGTGGACTGCATTGATCTCTATTATCAACATCGCATCGATACACGTGTGCCCATTGAAGTCACGGTTTGCTCCATCTTGCCATCCACCTCATTCTTGATGAAACAAAAGTTTGATCAACTCCAAATTTCGAATAATTCAGTTTCATGTGCGTTTCAATTCTTCAAAAATTGCACAGAAAAGTTAGTCAACCTTATGGTCTAGGCTAATCTGCAGTATGCTAAATCTTATTTAGCACCAGGCACCCTGAAAAGTGAAAACAATGAAAATGTCTTATATTAGCTTGGCAGTCCTGCTGAGGGATATACAGGTGGATATCATGCTATACATTGTACAGCTTTCCTTTAGAAGCAAGAGACCTGAGCATTCTCTTTCATTTGAGATAGGCTATCCAGTTGAGTAATGATATGCTATTTACTTACCTTGTCATTCGTTTTCAGTCGGTGCCAAAAGCACTGCAGATAGAAGTTTTTTAGTCGATATCTAAAAAACGTGGTACTCATTTTGTTCAGAGTATAGCTTTTTGTCTAATTGTGAAAGCCAGCTGCGACTACCCCATTGACCTCTCTAAGCAATTCAAAGATTGCAGCTGCTTGCTTACATTCAGCTTTTATGAAAACAATTTCTGTCTTCTTTTTCTAATATAGTCAGCAAAGAATTGTCTTGTTTTTCCTGAGTATTAGGAAGAAACTTTCTTGCAGTTTAATCACTTAAAATACAGGCAAGTATAAAGGAAATCAAGGAAATTGACAACTGATAATTGATATGTACAGCCATTATTATATCTAGACGAAGTCAACAATGTCGTGTAATCATATTGGAGGAGCATTATGTTGGCATGGTCCGGTGGGCTGTACATAGAGAAGTATCACTGGATGCTTATTGCCATTTTTGTCAATTATTGATTTCAGTTTGACGTATACTTTGTCCACGACTTCATTGAACTAGTGCAACTTTTACTTTTTTGCACGTAATATTTCGATTATCTGCCTAAGTATTGAATGTAATAAATCAGCTTTGCATTTTCTTGTCCATTGAAATTCTCTAGATAGGAGAGCTCAAGAAACTGGTTGAAGAGGGTAAAATAAAGTATATAGGTCTGTCTGAGTCCTCAGCTTCAACAATTCGAAGAGCACATGCTGTTCACCCAATAACAGCTGTGCAGTTGGAGTGGTCATTGTGGAGCAGAGATGTCGAGGAGGAGATTATTCCCACTTGCAGGTAGTGCATATATTCTGCTGCATTTTCTACGTGGTCTAGAAGAAATATGAAGTTCTTAATTCAGTTTTTGGTATAATCTTTCAGAGAGCTTGGAATAGGGATTGTTGCATACAGTCCACTTGGAAGAGGATTCTTCTCTTCAGGTCCAAAGCTGGTCGAGAATTTTACTGAAGGTGACCGCCGAAAGGTTTGTGCATATCCAAAACTATGGAGTTTTTGAGTATAGATTGTTTATAGTTCGAATAAGTTTCTCACTCATCTAGTTTTACCACATTCAGTGACAATCTTGCTTGATATCCCTATTCTTGTCTATCTGTCATATGTTGCTGCACTTTTTGATGTCCAATAATTTGATTAAGCCTTATAATATGATCACATTTAATCAAATTTCTATTAAGCAGAGCAAATCAACAGGCTTTTTTTTTTTTCCTGTCGAACAAGTCTTGAGGTCTTTAGTTGATTGAATGAATTCAGATTTTGGTGTCCTCTGTATTTAGTTCAAATTAAAAGATATGGCGCTAGCTTTGTCAGATTTTAGATCTTATATTAATTGAAGGTTGTTATTGCATGCTGGACAACAATCACAAGCAATCGATAGTATCGAATTTTAAAGTGCAAAGATGTCCTAAGACGTCAAAACAGGAAGAAACTATGTCACTTTTTATGTAAAAGTCTCTTTTCAGTTTTGAGGGGAAGTGGACCTTGGACTTCAATTTCATCATTTAGTCTCAGGCACAGAATTTCATCATTTTGTCCTGTGAAACTATCATTTTTCCTTTACCATTAATCCTAAAACTGAGTTTCATTGGTCAGAAGTGTACTTCTTAGTACAAACAATAGTTGATATGCATTTTAAGGTTCCCCTTTGATGGGAAATGTATCTCAGAACTTAACTCCAACAGTTGATGTTTCCTACTTGGATTATTCAGTCCACCTTGATGCATTGTTCTTTGCCCTGAACTTGTGTCCTTCAAACAATATTGCTGATCATCTTGAAGTAATGTACCGTCTGTTCATTTCTCCCTTCTGATTTCTTGCATTATAGTTTGCTCTTTAATGGGAAATGTATCTCATGATCTACCTTCTACAATTAATGTTTCTTAAGAGTACTCAGTCCAGCTTACTGGATTGTTCTTTCCCCTGAACTTTGTACACCTCAAACAATACTATTGATCATCTTGAAGTTATTCATATTGTCTTCATTTGTAGACGACACATGCTTCACTTCCTTTTGCATTTCTGGCGTTACAGTAGCATAAAATTTTGAAATTCATACAATGTAGGGTATGCCAAGGTTTCAAGCAGAGAATTTGGAGCACAACAAGAACTTGTACGAGCAGGTCAATGCCATTGCTTCAAGGAAGGGTTGTACCCCATCACAGCTAGCTTTGGCCTGGGTCCATCACCAAGGCAAAGATGTTTGCCCCATACCTGGCACTACCAAGATTGAGAACCTCGATCAGAATATAGGAGCTTTGTCTGTGAAACTGTCGGCAGAGGAAATGGCGGAACTTGAATCTATTGCTTCGGCTATCAAGGGTGAGAGATACGAGTCTGACGCTGGGCTTGGTACTTGGAAAACTTCTGAAACTCCGCCTTTGTCAACCTGGAAGCGGACATGAAGACATACCTTTGTTATGGCAATAATTCCTTCTAGCTATGTGCCTGATGGTGGATTTCACTATATTGAGAGTTGAGTGATATGTAATTGTTCCAATAAATTTTGACATACTATTGTCTCTAGGGCTATGTCAAGTAAAGTTATAAGAAGAATGGAGTATCTTCAGAGAGGTTGTAATAAATAAAGATCTGGTCATGTAAAAGCAGAATATAATTTTCCTTGCAGTTGAATGCATTAAGAGTTATATATTGTACTTTTGAATGCTAAAGTGGTCCATTTTTTATGTGCTACTGCTACGAGAGTTATAGATTGTTGAACAGCATTCAATTCAGGACTTATTAAACATAAGCATATAAACATTTTATTCTCGGAATATTTACATCAAAAGAAACTCCAAGGTCACATCATTGTAAAGTGTAAACTATATCATATTAATAAAAAGCAAAAAAAAAATGTCTAAATGAGGAAAAAAATGTACTATAGAAGAAGTCAACAATGTCATGTAATCATTTTTTCCTAAAATTGAGATTCAAATTTAGTTGATTTGTATTTTGAGTTTCCTCTTTGATGGGAAATGTATCTCAGAACTTTAACTCCAGCAGTTGATGTTTCCTACTTGGAGTACTCAGTCCACCTTGATGCATTGATCTTTCCCCTGAACTTGTGCCCGTCAAACAATATTTCTGATCATCTTGAAGTAATTAGTACCATCTGTTCATTACTCCCTTCTGATTTCTTGCATTATAGTTTCCTCTTTAATGGGAAATGTATATCAAGATCTACCTTCTACAATTGAGATTTCTTAGAGTACTCAGTCCACCTTACAAGACTGTTCTTTTCCCTGAACTTTGTTCACTTCAAACAATACTATGATCATCTTGAAGTTATTCGTATTGTTGTCTTTTGTAGACGACACATGCTTTACGGCCTTTTGAATTTCTGCATTGCAGTTGCTTAAATTTTGAAATTCCTACAATGTAGAATATGCAGGTAGAGAATTTGGCAAAAATTCAACGAATACTAGTTGTGGGCATCTGAAAATGGTTATAGATGACAAGGGACGATGATTTTACTTGGAAACTTGGGTTTTTACATTCTTGTGGTATGTATTACTATACAAAAATGGTAAAATTAAAACATAACCAAGTTTTGGGGTTAAATAAGAAATTTGAGATAACAGGTTAGCTAAATTTTTAAAGTGAGCCAAAGCACAAGGACTTAATACTACATGTTTTACTAAAATGGGACCCACATCTCTAAATTCAGGCCTGTCAAGTTCATCGAGGCGCTTCGTTTGCAAACGGACCCATTTGTCAGCCCAAATCATCAAACGCTTCCTTCCTCCCCTTTTTATTTAATACTAGTGCGGTGTGATTTTCAATATTGCCCATAAATGCCCAATCATTCAAATTTAGATATTAAATATGAAAAGTTACATAAAAATGCATTACTATCTTTGCAGTTATGTTTTTGTAATTTTATTAAATAGTAAAAATAAGCTACAGTCTTAGCTTTTCATAGTTTTAGAAGTTTTTTTTCATAAAAGGAACTTTAAAATAATATACAATCATACAAAATGAAAATAAAATCCCCAAACAGTCATCTTGCAACTAAAAGATGGTGGGACATAACATCATAATAAAAGATATCTTGTTGTTAGCATCCTATACATTAGCTAAACAATCTACCATCTGATTTGCTTCACTGCTTACATGCTTTGATCAAGACTTGCTGCCAAAATACGATAAGACACCTACAATCAGATATAACCATAGCACATTGTAAATAGCAGTATCATATTGGTTTAAAAGATTAAAAATATTAATAGCATAAACTTCTAATTCCAGTTTGTAGCAATAATGATCTATGAAGATTGGAAGCTATTCCTGATCGTTTACTGATCCGATGGTCCAAAATCCATATTAATTCCTTACAACTACAGCAACTCCAAGATTGCCTTTTGAAACCCTACCAGTGATAAGTTTTCAAAAGCCATCCTTAGGACGAGTCTCTATAGAATCATAACTTCATATTTTTCCCTAGCCATGGTCTGTTTGGGTTCTGAGGAGTAATTAGAGGTATTCAAAAGAGGAAAGGATTGCGGTTTGCCAACATAGAAAGATTAGATTCGTTTTGATAATTCAATGAGGACCAACCAGTGAAAGAAATCACAATGCCCCAAAGAACTTGAAAAATGGTGAAGGGTTTTTTGCTAGGTATGCTTTTTTTTTTTTTCATTCATTCCTCACAGCTTAAATGATGATCAATACCAATCTCCCAAGACAAGCGTCCATGTAATAAAATCAGTAAACAGAATAACTTTTCAATTTAACTTGAGAGAAGAAAATGTACAACCGAAGCAAATCTCACGAGGAATAGAAAAAACCACTGTTTGGATATATAACTGAAGCTCATTTCTCAGCACATCTTTATCAATAATACAATCAAGATATGCCAAATTAGGTGAGAGAAACTATTAGGTGAGAGATGTTACAAATCTAAGAGAACATCATGTTTTGTAAATACATATTTAAATCAACTAAAACTGAATTTTCTAACAAGAATTTCTAAGCTACCAAACATCATAGTCTATGATTAAAGAGGCAAAACTACAGTTATGCAGTAAGTTAATTCTTTTTTCGGCAAATGAATAGAACATTTAAGGTGTTAAAACAATAACTTACTATTTCAAGCAGGTGCTTAGAATCTAATATTTGAGAATCCTTGTGTTGGGCAAAACTTTAACCACCTACAAACAGGAAAACTATTTATAAGATCCAGTGAATCAGAAACAATTAATCAAAAAAAGATTGCTGAAAATACTTGGTTTAATATCCACTTAAGGCTCATAAAACAAATATTCAAAAGGTTTTAACAAAGACAATTTTCTTTGCTAAAAAACAAAAAAATTGAACACAAAGCATTCAAAAGAGTAGCATCCCAAGATCTTTTGTAACTCAAAATTTTGGCCAATGACCAACTTGGCAGAGAAGTTCCTGATTCCTAGAGAAGAAATTCATTAGTTCTACAAGTGTTGGAAACCCAATGAAGGAAAAAAAAACAGAAGAACTGAAGCAAAAAGAAATACATTTTGAAGATGAAGAAATATATTTTAAACAAGTGTATCTTTTAGTTACCATAGGGAATGTTTTTTTTGAGCAGATCAACAAAATACCTACGTGAAAGACGCCAAAAAATGATTAAAAAGAAAATTTGAATGAGTTTGAAAAGAGCAAAGGCCATTGAAAATGACCAAAGAGAAAAGCATACCAGGTCTCAAAAGAGCAATTTAAAGGAAAAAATTAAATCAGAATGACACAACAAAACTTACGTTTTGTCTCACCAGTTGTTCTTCACAGGTGGCCATTTTTGCTTCCAACTCCAGAAGAAATCCAAGAAAGGCAAAAGCTTAGGTTGAGCTAAATAAACAAAAGGTCATTTTCTTTAGCAAATTATAGGCACATAAGTAGGTGAGATAATTTAAGAGAGTACTCAAGTTTTGAGACTTCAATCTTACCAGTCTCAAATGCAAGTAAGAATAACATAAATCATCTACAACCAGACAACACCATGGAAAAGAAAATTTCCTAAACAATCCAACTTGTAAAATTACTTAAGAGGTAATCTATAAGCTTAAGCAGCAGTCCATCGGAGGGGAAGAGCTTATATTGTCCTCTAGGCAATGCAATAAATGAAGGAAAATATAGGCTGCAAAACCATGTAAAACTCATAGTTGGCAAGGGTAGCCTCAGCACAAGTTAGGACACTACTGAGTCATGAGAAATTTTGTGATTACATCTTTAACAGACATTATTCATGAAGCAACAATATACATTGGCAAGTAGAACACAAAAATGAAAATCCTTTCCCTTACAATGCTTGGTAATGAACAAAACGGAAAGATGATTACCAACTATCACTAAGAAGCTCTATTTTGTTTGGCTATGAGCTCAAAACTATCACTAAAAGATTATCGTTAAGCACCTGATGATCCAAATGTCCAAATAGTGGAAAATATACAGGAATACAAGATTTATTATTCAATCCTTTATCGCTATGTAATAGTTGTACCCTGAGCTGATTCGCCTATATAATGGAATAGAGAATCATAGAGGTTAAGCCAATACCTTAAAATTCAATAACCACAAAAAATTGCACAAGAAAGTAATACCTTAAGGACCACTACGAGCTAAAAGATTGCAACGACTATGGCAGTTTTTTTCCTTCATGATTAGTATATCAATCTAATAAAATTCCCCACAAATTAGAGATCAAAACAAAGTAAACATTGAATTTGCTAGATCCATAAACCTAATTACCACTTCCATACACAATATAGCAAGGTCAATGAAAATAACACCATTTAAACAAACAAAAATTTACACTATAATTAACTATCCAAAATATCAACATTTCAATTTCTACCTAATGAAAACAACCTCTGATGAGATGTTTCTGCACATGTGAGAAGTGCCATTTTGTTAACATAGTTCTGCAATTGAGTTTCTTAATCTGAGAAGTCACCATGAAAGAAAAGAAAAGCTTGAGTTTAGTCAGATTTACCAATCCAATATCATCATTCCTGATGATGGAGTGCTTTATTATGCGCTTGCAGCTATCAAAGTAGTCATAGCAGAATGAAATAGAGTAGCTCACATAAAGGCCAATCGGGACTTATGTACTGCACTTGGAATTGATTTTTCTATCTTCCAACCAAATAGTGTTTGCTTATTAGTGTATTTCAGGTAATATCTTGATGTATTGTTGTGGGTATTCCCTTTGATGCTGATCAATTGTTGTGGGTATTCCCTTTGATGCTGATCAATCGAAAGGAAGCTCATTAGAAAAAAAGGGATAATAAGTATAGATATGTTTATGACCCTGTGAGGTGAATCGTGCACCACTCCAAAGAAAACAAAAAAAAAAAGGATAAAAACCATCCGTTGATTGTATATCTCAATTCCTCATCTTGTAACCAGGAAAAATGGATATGTAGAAACCAAAAAAAAGGGTTCCGAAGAAGGAAAAAATACAGTACTATATATAGTTTATAGACATCACCAAACCAGTAACTTTGAGTGCGGAATTTCTAGGAGATCATGAGAGAGTGAAGCACAAAAATATAAAGAGAAAGTGGAGTTATACAGTACCCATACCACATGGCCAAATCTAGTTAATATTTTCTTTTCTTGACTGCAGCAAACTGAGAAAAATTCTCAAGGGAAAAAATTTTCAGAACATAACGTGAACTTTATAAATACCAGATTTCTGAGAAACAAAACAACAGACCTGGAAAAGTAAAAATCATGCTGAAAGATAAAATTGACTCCAAATTTCCGACTGCTATCAGCCAAGAATCGAAAAAATAATTAGCCAGTACTTCTAAAAAATAATTATTGGCTGATTATAATTAGCCAAGAGAAAACCACCAAAAAAAGGCCAAAATCCTAAACTTACAATTAGCAAGCACCGATTGTTTATGCTTGATCCCCCCCCACCAAAAAAAAAAAAAGGATTGAGACAGGCTAATGCATTTCAAACATTAGCAGTCATGCATTAGAAAAGCAACAAGTTAACCACAGTATGTGACATTAAATGTTGGCAAATTCATCTGCTAAATACATTTTCTCACGTCATCCTAAAATTTCTAATTCCCATCCTGCTTAGTAAAATAAAATAAAAATACTACAATAAAACATCACCAGAATGAGAAAAGCATCAATTGTGTGACTACAAAATTATGTGCAAGTAGATGGAAAGTAATAAAAACTTTAAGAATTGTGTACTACCATCCATAAACCATTCACAATTTGAAGAAATGTAAGCTCATTTAAGTATCTTGTTCAAATCTACAAGAAATTTTAGCACCATCAACCTGCAAATTACATACAAACAAGCTCAAATTTGGATGGAATCAACCATAATTAATGCAAACTAAGTACTACATTTCATCACGAACCAAATTTAACAAAAAAATAATTACTACTATCACCTTTTTGGACGAAAACATTATGCATTATTATCATTTTCATATCCAAATAACTACCTTTACCAAGCATCCACCTCATTGTAAGAATTGTGTACTACCATCCATAAACCATTCACAATTTGAAGAAATGTAAGCTCATTTAAGTATCTTGTTCAAATCTACAAGAAATTTTAGCACCATCAACCTGCAAATTACATACAAACAAGCTCAAATTTGGATGGAATCAACCATAATTAATGCAAACTAAGTACTACATTTCATCACGAACCAAATTTAACAAAAAAATAATTACTACTATCACCTTTTTGGACGAAAACATTATGCATTATTATCATTTTCATATCCAAATAACTACCTTTACCAAGCATCCACCTCATTGTAATATAACTCCTTTCCCCTTTACTCAACCCCTATAGCATTATGTAACTCACTTTTTACATTATCATCAAGTAAATAAAAACAGATCATTAATTGAAGCCGTCCCGCTCAAGGAATAAACACTTGCATTACAGCTCCCTACCCATCCTAAACTTGGCATCAGACCACATCAATTTGCATAAATGATTATTCTAAGCAATTATTTCATGTGAACAGATACGGGCCATAAATGTACATACATAACAAAACAAAAAATTGCATTTTCCATGTAAAAATGTGAATATGGCATTTTTCCCAAGGACTAAATTTTCTCATACTCAACCTTACCATAACTTAATAGAAAACTCATTATTCTTGCCTAAAATCTAATAAAAAAACCTTTTGCAGGTAGTGTAGGTAAATGATCTAGTGTATTGCTGGCATAATAAAGCTCTAATAACTTGACAAAATTGTAAACCCACTAATAAGTATTCATTAGCTAAAATGAGTCTTATTTTGAAAATACTCCAGAATATTCATGTTTTTGCACGAATATACCTTGGCTCTGCATTTTTCAGTAATTATTGCAATAGCAAAATGAAAAGAAATGCTTGCAAAAGATCCCCTCATCTGATTTAAATAAATAAAAAAAAAAAGCAATCTGTTCCAATACAAATCTAGATTTGGTCACAATGAACGAGAACCAATCTGTCATGCCATCGACATAAAACATATACGATCCAAAATATTCAGTTCAAGAGAATTAACCAACTAATTAAAAACATTGCCTGCAATTCATCAATTTGTTATAATAAAAATAAAAAATTCACCATAATTGCATTCACAAAATAGTCACACCAAGGACAACCTCAAGAAAATATGTGATACCCTATATTAAAGAACAGCATATGGTAGAATTTGTTGATTCACATACCAATTCAAGTTCAATGGTAAATTAGAACAGCCAAAATTGTTCAAAATACAAAGAAAATAACAACTTGGGATCCATTTATCTCTAATGGCAGCTTGCTCAACAAAATCCGCTAGCAAGGAGGCACCGGCCTTTTCGTTCACTGATATTGCAATGACAAATGCAAGAAAAATCAGAATGATTTAGTAATTTATTCAAGACGGCACAAAAATGGAAAAACAAGACCCATAACTCAGTATCATAGAGTGCCAACAACCAACTATAAAATTCTTAAATTGGCATATACTCGTATCTAGAACCACAGGTACAAGAAAATTTAAATGCAAAATCATATCCTAACATGAATATGAATATTAACATGACAATGAAAACAACAACCACATCATAGTAGCTCTATTAGTTTTTTTTTTTTTAAGAAGGTAATAATATGATCATTCCTTTCTTAAAACTTTGAATCCATTACCTTAATTAATCCAATCTCCTTAGTGTTGCTGCGGAAGCATTGTCTGCACCACATCAAGTCATACTTTCTGATAATACCATGGGAGTTTCCACACACAAGGCTGTCAAAACAAACCAACGTATAACCATAAGCAACAAGTCAAATCATCAAATAATTCAATCAAGTATTTAAAAAAGAAAAAGCACCAAACCACCAGGAGGAGAAAATATCCACGTGGTTAGGTACAATTCTTAAAATGCCATAGTGAATAATACCGTTATCACTACAAAATACTACTTACAACAGCTTACTAAACTCCCAAAATTCAGTCGAGCCATCAACGACACAAGACTTTTTTAGCATGAAAATCACATTGACCCGTCATTAGGACCAATTTAACTTGAAAACAAGATTATATACCATATGATCTAGTATACAAGGCAGTACACCATGAACCTACAATTTCTTGAAATCCAATCAAGGACTCCAGCATCACTGATACAAACACCAGATTATACTGGTAGACAAAACCACAATAAATGGGACTAAGAATGATAAAATAAAAAAAGATTCAAGAACCCCACATGATAAATATTCAGACAGAATTAGACAACTGAAAAAAGATGAAAAGCAAGTACTTTATTTCAGGAACATTGATCTGCTTTTTCTATTTTCTTCCTTAAACTGAGAAGGTTCAAGAAGCATGGGAAACAATGTTAAAGAATACACTTTTTTGAGAAAATAACCTTATAGAATCTACCTTCAAAAGGGATAAACAAAACTTACAAAACCGCATGAAGATGGTGGAGGAAATTTCCAGATTATGTACCTGCAACATCACAACATCATAAAAGGGAAAAAATTAGACAACTAATCTGGTAAATAATAGGAGATAAAAAATACCAAAGGGCCAAATATCTGAGGAAAGGACACGAGGTGTCAGAAAACACAGCAATCATGATACTTATGCAATAGCAATGAAATGGAGGCTACATTTCCAAAAGAGGGCAGTAAATGCAACAGCACAAGTATGATCAGTCTGGAACAAAATTTTCATTATATGCTAATTCAGAGCCAATTACAATGTCACAGAGTAACAGGCAATAGACATGAAACTTCCAATACAAGCCCTTACACATAAACTCCCAATTACAAGGCTAATTTGTAAGAAATTCCTGGGGAAGTGTCACCATAGCAAAAATAAAAGAACGTTAACTGATTTAATCCAGTTCTTTGGATTATAGGGATAACAGCACATTTTCTGTGTCCTAGTTGGTCCAAACAGAGACAAAAGAAATCTGGCAAAATTAAAACAGAGAGGACGAAGCTACAATCTTTGCAATTTCAAGGCCTATACATTTAAAATAACGTTAACGACTACTGATGATGGTCTTTTTTCATTTAAATAGGTTTTGGGAACATTTTCAGTTCAAATATGTCTGAAATTTTCTATATTTTTGTCTAATTTCTTTCCATAACTTTCCACAGAAAAAAAGTGCATATAATAAGTAGAAAACACAAAACAACATTTCACCAAAAAAGAGAAATGCATTCTTATAGAATCCCATCAATAATACAAAGAATCCCATCAATAATTTCAATTTCATAACTCTCATTAAAAAGAAACAAACAAAATTCGAATCAGTGATCAAAACTTGAACTTCATAAACGTCCATGCACTAGTCTAATGTTGGCGAATTCTGGGACTTGTGCATAATATTTACTATAGTTTCTTGACCTAATATAAGTTTGCCAGTGTCAAGTGAAAAAGGCGAATAATCTGCAACTCTAACCATCAAATGCTACCACCACGAGATGGGTTAAAAATTCTTCCGAGTGCAGTTCAAGAACTCAGTAGAGGCGAACAGAGGGACTTACGTGAAAGGAACTGCTTAGAATCAGAGGGAGAAGAGGGACTTACGAGAGCAGCACTAATCAGCGGGGACAACACTGGCAAGTGGCACGAGATGTCAGAAATAATAGGAGAAAAAGAACTAAAAGACTAATAAACATAGTTCGGAGAAAATGAAGCAATAAGAGAATTTGAAGCAAAAAAATTCCAGCCAACTTTTCAATTTTGTTGTTGTCTATCAGAAAGAAATTGGAGAGAAAAAGTGCAGCTTTCTTCGCGATGATGAGGAAGAAGACGAGAAGAAAGAGAGCATGGGTCAGAGAAAGGGAGTCGGATGGCTAATTCTTCCTTTCATAAAAAATAATTGATGGCTAATTGATGGGTTAAATTAAAATAAAAAATAAACTTACAGACCCGATTAGGCTGAAAATCCATTCTCTTCTCTTCATCTGCTTATTCTTCTTCTCATCTTCTTCCTCTGATCAGGGAAAAAATTAAACAAAAAAAGACTCACAGAACCAGCTTAAATTTCACGAAAAAAATGTAAAACAAAAGCATACATGTTCTGATGAAGATCCATTTTTCCCCTTTCTACTTCTTCTTTTCATGGCTTACGTTTTTCTTTGTCCCATTTCTCTTGCTGTAATATAAATCCAACAGATAGACATGATATCTGGGAAAAAAAAATTGAACTCAAACAGGTGGGCATTCGACAGTTGGACTGTTGTTGGCTTGTTCCAGTGGAAGAAAAGCAAAGAGGGGAAGAAGAGAGGAAGAAATGAAAAGAGGAAAGAGAAAGATGGAACCTTTCCTGGTCTCGAGCTCATCGGCCAAAAGAGAAATCGTGTGGCTTGGAAAAGGAAACAAAAATTGAATGACAAAGAATACAAACGGCAGCGGTGGTTTACCAAGGCACAGCTATCCCAAAAAGAAGATAAATGAACATGGCAACCAGGGCAAATGAGTAAGACATGACCCGTCACATTGAGCTCAGTAACTACTCCAATTTTTATCACAATTTATTAGTCCAATCGGTGTCACCAAAAGGCTGCAAATAGGTACGGTGGGAAGAGAAATGACCCAAATGTTTGAAGAAAAAGGACAGCTATTAATTATTGCTCTTTTGGTGGGTTCCATACAGCAAAACACTCAGGCTTACAAACGCACGACCCAATTTGCAGCCTCTGCATTTAAAAAAAAACAAACACACACACACACATGGACGAACCCACTCTAGCCAATAATAATTGGCCACATCAGCAAAACAACCATCCCTTTTGAGCCATGGCATTCGCTCTTTTATACATATGTTAATAAACCCGATACGACTTCCTGATTATTCCAGGATCCAACAATTAAAACTTTACACACAAATAAATGGTCAAATTCACTTAAAAATTGTGGGGTCATCTTCCACATTAAACTTTTGTACTATCCAATCGCCACTACTTCAAATTAATTTGGACCGTAAGTAATGTCATTACTTTCTGTGAATATCAAATATGAAAAGTGCATTATATATATGAGGAAAAAAAATAAAATGTACTAGTTTTCAATTTCTTTATGTAGAATATTTTCTTGAATATTAATTTTTGATATATCTTAGTCAAGGTCATTAATCAACCCGGACCTAATCAACTCCAAACCCAGGGCAAATTTCTTTAAAATATTGCCAAAAAGAAGTTCGAAAAATATTGTTGAAAAGTTGAGTATTTTTCTATCCAGGCTCGTAGTATCTCTGACATGCAGTGGACTAGTTCACTAGTTCCATTTTCTTTTTATAAAAGCAGTCTGTTTGCCAGACACATGGTGAGCCACATTTAAAAATTGATTTCTATCATAAAGCCTATCATGTCCGGACAGAAGATGGACTGTTTTTTAAATTTTTTATTGAAAGCAAGTGAAAAGTGTTGCAACTCAGGACTTGGATAGTAATTCTAAAATTTATTAGTGCACCTAGCTTTTAACTTTTCGTGTGCTTTTTAGGTATCAAATGGGGGAAAAAAAACCAACACCATATAACTTCAAATGCAAGATGGTACGAAATTTGTATACAATGACATGTAAAAAGTGGACCGTTCATCACAAAGATATTTATCCTAATATTAGATTCATTTTTTCAAAAATTCAACTTTGCATGCAAACATGTAATCAATATGCATAAATAGATAGCATTAGATGAATTTAAACAAGTAGCCTTCAAATTTAAAAATATTTGATTTCATAAAGGTGCATTCGCAATTTAAAAAAAGTACTTTTCAAATGGCAACTCTAGAGAACAAGAAATACTCCTACTTTATTTTGATTTCAAATCTTCTTTTGACTTGTCAAAAAAGTGAAAACACGAAACCAATAATGGGTCAGATAGAGAGAAGTATTAGAAAGAGAAATTTGTCAAATTGATCCCTAATATTTATACAAAAATTTTTTTTAGTCCCTATAATTTAAAATCAGTCAGAATAGTTATTAACATATAAATTATGATTCATTTTGGTTCTAATGCTCGTATTTGCTCATTTCTTTTACTAAAAATAGCACGCCTCTCTCACGTGGACATATTTTCAAGGGCAAAATTGAAAAACACAAGCTTTTCTCCCCTTTTCAAGGATAACATTTTCGCATATTTTTCTTTCCATGTTCTGAAATTAGGGCTTTTCTCCCCTTTTGCTTCTGGTCATGGACTCTTTGCTATCGAGCTACGTCTCTTCCGATGAAGAACAAGAAGATAAACCACAGCTCTCAAATCCCAGTTCCGCTGGATTCCTCTCCTCACTGCCACCCCCAAAATCTTCATCATCATCTTCTTCCTCATCCATCTTCTTTCCATTTCCCCCACCCCCAATCCCACCCCCCAAAGCCCCCCATCTCATCGCCTTCCTCAACCCTGAATCCACATAAATCTAATGAACTTCAAGAAGAGAGGGATGGGCAGCAATTGCTAAAAAATTGGGAAAGTTCGAGATTTTTTATATCACTTCCAAAACCATTGTCATCTTTGTTCGCTTGGTTTCCTCAACCCAAATCATCTTCCACGTCATCTCTTTTCTCTTCTCTTCCGTAGCCCACCAAAACCCACAATCTTGATGCCCGGGTTTCGCCTCCTGTGCAATTTGCTAGAAAGAAGGTGGTGGTGGTTCCTTGGCAGTTGGATCACACAGCTTTAATGGAAAGGTGATGGAATCAAGCTCGCCGGGTTTAATGGTGGTGGTTCCTTGGGGGATCAACAGCAGCAGCCACACCGCTAAAGGGATCAAGCCTCAAATTGACGCGGGTGCTTTTCAGTTTGAGGAGAATATACTGAAGTAGCAGCAGCAGAAGCTTCAATTCCACATTTACACTGAAAATAATAGTGTTTTCTAGTTTTGTCCTTGAAAATATGCCCACATGAGAGAGACGTGCTATTTTTAGTCGGAGAAATGAGCAAATACGAGTATTAGGATAAAAATGGATCATAATTTATATGTTAAGAACTATTTTGGCTGATTTTAAATGTTAGAGACTAAAAAAATTTTTTGTGTAAATATTAGGGACTAATTTGACAAATTTTTCTATTAGAAATTTGTTTTCTAGATTCTTTGGTTTCCCAATTTTTTCAACGGGTCAACTCGACCATTATCACATTCATGTGATTGTAGGTCTACCACGCTTCATAGTCCATAACGTGGATTGGCACCACAAAAGATGGTGTCAAAACACTTTTTTAGTTTAGTAAGATCTGTGTATGTATTAGTTCCTAACACAAGTCTCTTTAGATTTTCCCTCCTTTGTAATTTAGAATAAAATAGGTTATACAATTGTTATCGTCTCCAGAAAAAAAAGGATAAGTCCCACCCTATTATTATTTTTCTTTTATCAATCAACAACGCCTATTCTACACCTATTTGACTTCTATTCTAGGGGAAAGGGAGGTCCAACTGGAAAATTAATGGTGATTGAACCACAATTAGACCAAAAACTTTCTAGATAAAATTTGATCTAAAAAATAAATAATAATATATTAACTTATTATTTAATGCGATACATATTCAAATAGATTAAATTTAATAATTTTAAATTTTAAATTTTACATTTTAAATTTTAATTTTCAAACTTCAATGTTGCCATACTTACAACAACAACCTCTAGATGGTCAACACTTAGAGTCGTAGCCCTTGCTTTTGGCATTCCCTGGTCCATATGCTATGTTGTTATCAATGAGGAAGCAAATGTCCGCTATTAATTACACGAGACATCAGTCAAATCAGTCAAAAGATGTTATTGATTGAACCAAGTGGGCAAATTGAATGAACCACCAGCTCCACCAAGCCCTTAAGGCTTCGGTAACCTTGCCTCCCATTAAAATGTCATTCTTGTGGCTTTTCTTCAAATTTAGATCGGTGTATTGTGCACCCGTCTGATCCAGTGGTGATTCTGTTCTCATCGATCTTTCATAAGCTCAATTGAGCCTTCCTGTAATTAGAATAGGTGTAGGAGTAAGGATGACAATTGATTAAAAAAAAAAAAAAAGTGAGCAAATTGAGCGAGGATGCGTAATTGACCTGGAAGTCTTGGCAGACTTGGAGGAATCAATCAACATTCTCTAACTTGAATGAGGTAAGCACAAAGGTAAGCATTTTCCATTTTTATTTTGGTTTTCATTTCTTGTATACTCTAAAACTTTTTTCATTCTACCCCACGCACATATAATATATAATGAAATGTAAATTTTTTTATGAAAACATATAAAATATATAAAATGAAAAATAAATTTTTTATAAAAACATATGTTTATATTTATCTTTGTATAATGAAAATATATAATTCATTCTACCAATATATACGCATATATATATATATATATGTATAATGAAAAATTAAATTTCTCCTTCATCTTCAAGGCTGCACCTACAAACAACAAAACTCCGCTCCACTCAACTCTTTCCTTCGTGTTTTGTGTTTTTTTATAAAAAACATATATATATATATATATATATATATATATATATATATATCTTTTAAGTTTCACTAATTGTTTTGTTTTTTACTAATATTACCTCATGAGAGGTAAAAAGGGTATAAATGGAACAACATTATTATCTCAATTTCCAAAAGACTTTTTTAATGGTACTTTTTCGAACATGGGTTGAAGCTATTATCAAAATCTAGTTTAGGAAAAATTAGTGCTATTTTTCAAAATTTAGGAAAGCTGAGTACAACTGTTAGAAATCTCAGGGACGGTTTTTGCAATTATCCCTCAAAGCATAGACCAAGACTACACTAATCCCTAAAAATTTGACACCTATTTCTTATAACTATACTAGATAATTTCATAATTGTATAGAAAAATAAATTAAAATTTATTATACAAAGGTATTTTTGGATATTTATTTAAAAATTTGATCAAATTAATATTATTTTAAAACTTTATTACAAAAACTATCAAATCAAAGGAAGTAAGCGTAATATTTCAAACCTTACAGTAAAATTGTTAGAAACCTCATAGAGGTTCCTGAAATTATCCCTAATATTTTTTTTTGTACAAAAAACTCCAAAAAAAGTGGCAGCTCAAACGGGGCCAACAATCTACTATGTTTGCCTGTTCTCCCGCCGGACCCACCAGCCGCCGGCGGCCATGGGTCATCTATAAAAGCATAGATCAAGACTACACTAATCCCTCATCAGTCCAGTCCATCCATAATTGCAGAAACTGGTAGGTTTTGTATTTAACAAAAATATGAGACTTTGTAGATTTTGAAGTTTAAGGAATGGATATTTGAAGTTTAACGATCGTTATACAACTTTCAAAACAAATAAATCCATTCTAATTTTTTTTTGGATAATTTCATAAATCAAATCGTGGTCACTTTCGCAAAAGTCATATTTTTCCATAAAAGACCAGCTCTTTATGGCTTTCCTCCATTATAAAAACATAGTACCCATTTTTCCATAAACAAATTTATTTATCGAATAAAATAAAAATAAATCCGTTTTCCAATAAAACACCAGCT